CGCAGCTAAATGCAAAAAAGGTATTTTGGCAAAAGGGCCTAAAAAAAATATTCACAGCGTTAGATGCAATTTTTTGCCGGATCATATTCTTTAATACTTGCTCTACAATTTACAAAAGTATTAAATTTTTTTTCTATGTGAAAGTTGCTTAAAAAATAGTAAACCTAATGGGTATTTTTTGCGCACGGCGGTACGGCGCGTAAGGAATAATAAGCCGCCATAGCCACCGATGCATAAACCACGTCCACTTTCTCAAGCTCGACTCCAGTATTATCAACCGAGTACGGTTAAACTGCAAGTGCTCTTAAAAATAACGAAATCTTGGAAACGATATAACCAACTTCCACACTGTAAAAAAATATGATACTTTAGTAAATTGTAGACTAAGTATTAAACAATACAATCCCGCGAAAAAATTGCATCTAACGTTGTTAACAACTTTTTTTAGGCCCTTTTGCCAAAGTACCTTTTTTTGCATGGAGCTGCGGTTTGCAAAAACTATCGATCCGATATTGCTGAAATTTGGTGTGGTTGTTACAGACTACTAAAGTTACAACTCTACTAATTATAAGCCCTTAATTTTTTATGCGAAAGAGAGTTATTTATTTTGTAATATGGGCTAAAAAACGAGATTTTTTGCATTTTGCGAGGAAACCACTGGGCCAATTGGGATTCCCTTAAACTCATTTTGTTCATCTTTTTGCCACGCATACTCCTATATTTTTTATTTAAATGTTTATTGTTTATTTCTGACGCCAAAAACCGTATTTTACCATTTTTTCCATTTTTTTATGCTTTAGCGGAAAAAATTTTTTGTTCAATTTTATTACAATCGATTGGCATTGTTTAATTCTCTACAACACATTTTTTCGAGCTAGTCTGAATTTCATGAAAAATTACCGACATTTCAGCTAATTCGATCCCACTACAACTCTGCCTCACTTCCCAGATCGACGAAACTGCAACTCTACCGCTGCGCCACCGTGTCGGTAGTAGATATACTTACTGGTGTATAGTGCAAATCGTGACGTAGCTGTAATACAGGCCAAACTGGGCCTCTGTTGCAGCTAAGGTACTATAAGGTAAATAATGTCTGACACAAAACATCACTTGATCTCTTTAAAGTCTTCGAAAAACATAGTAAAAATCGTTGTTTTTCCCTATTTATTTTTTCGTGTATGAATATATTTTAAGAAACGTACATAAAACATTAAATATGTATAATAAGACTACTTACCTTTGAAAAACAAAAAAAAACGCTGTATCTCGAAAGAGAAGCAAAAATGGCTAGAAATAAGAATTTATACGGATTTCCTACAGGCGATCTACATGATCGAGGTGCACGAATGGAGACTATGAACAAACATAACCTCAACTGGTTGACTTGTCGACTATATGTTGAAAATAACTAGTCAAAATTTTTTTTTAATTTAGAATGCCATGTTTGAAAAATTAATACGGTCAATTATACAATGTTTAAGTGCACGACTGTATCGATAGGCTGTAGACATGCACGAGCGTATGTGTGCCTGCGTTTAAGGAGAGGTATGTAGAGGGCCAGTCAGGTATGCACCAGTTCTAATTTGATCATAGTCAAGTGTGCACATGACACTTTGCTCTCCTCAAATTTAGAAAGTCTGTATACACTAAAAAGTCCGTTGTAGTCAGTCGTCCGTTTAGTTTTGTCAAGTCAATTCAATAAACATTTTTTTAAATTAAATCTGTTCAGTCGTCTCCTCATTTCCTCAACCCAAAACCCTTCACAAAATCTTCGAAAAATTTTTGTTACAACATAACTTCTCAAAATTAGAAATACAGTCGTATCTTGAAATGGAATTCAGATAGGCCAAAATCAATTCCACGTATAGAAAATAATTGTTAAGGTGCAAAAATATGTTGCACGAATTCTTACGAATTATCGTAATGATTCTGAAAATAATGAGTCATATCTCAAAGGCAAGGCTACAAATTTTATGTCATACCTATAAATTGATTTGTTTTCTGTTTTCTTTAATGTATTATAAGAAAAATTATAACGTGACCAAAGTCTGTACTTATTGTTTTTATTAATTTTAAGATCAGTAGAAATCAGTTAATTATGGGTGAATTTTTTATACTAAATTGTAAGTTACTACAGGAAACGAATGAAATGAGAAATTACAATTTTACAATGGAAAATAGTTATATGTCTATTGTTTTTCTCAATCTCAATAAGATATAGTGGTTTGTTTTACTTTCATGCCAGCCAAAATTTAAAAAAATTTTTATTTGTCGGATACAAAGATTCCAACAAGAATTTATTGTACACATATGATGTCATATCAAATGCATGAATATTAATCTTTAAATAAAAGAAATTTTTGTCCTGCATAATGAGAAAAACGTACCTTCTTTCGGTGCTGTAGGGTGAAAATTTTTGTTTCATTCTGCATTACATGACCAAAAATTCGTATATGTCTTGCATATATCATAGCAAGCATGGAACTATTTAGAATGCGCGAATTGTTACATAAGTAGTATATTAAGGTATATGTATGCCATGCATGCGCGTGCTCGAATACGTAATAATATTACAATTTTTACTATTTTATGATGGAATTCTTAAAGATCTATTAAAATCCGGTGTACTCTAATTTTCTCAGTTTTTATTATACCAAGATTAATAATATTTGAGTTTTACTTCTGCCAGGGGTCCCGAGACCCACACTTGGTTTCTTTATAAACGGTGTTCTGCACAAAAAAAAGCATCCCTTACCTCTAGTAAGCGGATTTGAACTCTGATCCGAGAGGTTCCTAGTCAAATGTCTTACCCACTGGGCTAAAGCGGATTTGACACACGAGAAAGGTTTTAAGTCTTTTTGAGGTATATTGAAAATTAATGTTTATTTTTTCATTTTGTGTATAACATTTACTGCCTTAGTAACCTAATTGGTTTATTAATATTTTATAAATGTACGGATAACATTTTTTTGTGTCAGTAAATACATTTGTCAATAATAAATCCAGTAATTGATCTTACATCTCGTTTAATTTTATGAACTTTAATTAAACATAACACATATTTTTCAATCTAACTAAAAATATTGAAACTGCTGCAGCAAATTAAGTAAAGGAGTAACCTTTTTTACATTAATACTTTCATATTTGTATCAAGTACCTGCAGAAAATAGAATCTCTCACTTATCCATTCACTACTTAAAAAAATTAAATAAATTCTCAGAGCATACATTTATACACATACTCAAGTTTTTTTGAAAAACTATTTCATTTAAATGAGAATTATAAAAAACTCTTTCTAATTAGTGTTGCAAACTGTAAAAAGCGTTAATTTTAAGACATAATCACATATTTAAATCTTATTTTATATATCATTAAATTTAAGTATTAAAGATAAAAAGGTACTTCTCAGTTTTATTTCTTGTAGCAATTATAATAAATTTGTTACACTTTTCAAAATAAGTTATTTTTCCTTTAGAATAAAAAGTTTATGTAAAGTTAAAGTAAAGTTTGTGAACAAAAATTAGTTGTAAAATCAATTACTAGATTTATTGTTGACAATCGTATTAACTTACGTAAAACAATATTATCCATACATTTATAAAATGTTAGTGAGCCAATTAGGTTACCAAGGTGGTAAATGTTGTACACAAAATAAAAAAATTAACGTTAATTATAGATTTACCTGATGAAGAGATCCCTAATAAATTCTCCCCCGAGTGTTGAATCCACTCTAGCCATGTGGTTAAAACACTTGACTAGGGATCTCTTGGACCAAGTTTAAAATCCCTCACTGTAGGTTAGGGATGCTTTTTTTACTACATATATTATATTTACTACATAATTTTTAAAAATTTATTACACTTTAAAAAATAAGTCATAAATTATACAAATTATGAATGCGTTACTGACATTCCATATGTACAATCCAAATATGAGTGTTTTAATATTTTTACAATTCTCTCATAATAATGAGTCCCTGTATTATATTTATGACTCCATAATAGAACAAGTTACATATAAAACTTAGTAAGTAAAAAATATATGATACTGCTTTCAGTATTCCTCTACAAAAAGATGTTTTTTCTCTTAAATCATGGACCCAATTGGTGATTTCCAAGCAGATTACACCAAAATATTTTTTCGCAATAGGGTGCGGAAAATAGGTGTTTTCCGCACTGATATTAGTGTGAAAAATCGATTTTCCCACATAGTATGCGGAAATGGTGTGCGGAAAATATTTTCCGTACAGAGTGTGAAAAAGATGTGTGGCAAAAACCTTTTCCGCACACTATGTGGTAAAATCAATTTTTCACACTAATATCAGTGCGGAAAACACCTATTTTTCGCACACTTATTGCGAAAAAACTTGTACGCAACTCGTGCGGGACAATTTCCCGCACTCGTGTGATAGACTCGCACTCGTGGCCGGTGACGGTAACTCGTGCCGTGCGATCACACTCGTGCTACGCACTCAGGTGCTCAACTGGCACTCGTTCCCGTCAACTCCGGCCACTCGTGCGATTCAATCACGACTCGTGCGGGAAATCGTCTTTTCCGCACTTGTTACGTAAATAACTATACCTGGGAGGTTACGTTGCACTCTTCTCTCCAAAAATTGGACCTACAACTTACAACTTTTACGTATGTAAGAGGTCAAAATAGGGCTACGTTTTAAGATATAGGCGAAAAAGGTCAATCGCACATAGAATTGAGGCTTCAGTGTTCCAAGAGCTAACAATATTTTTGTCACGACACGCGCTTAGATCAGTTTTCTTATCCCCTTCAAATAAACTCATGTAGTGAATACGCCACATGGGAAGACAGTACGGTATTGACTCCCAGGTTCTTCCTTCTGTTGCCTTGGAAGGTTTGGAAGGTAATTATTATACACAGGAGGCAATGCCATACTTTTGTCCCTAGTGGCGTAATATATTTTTCTATTATTCATTAATACAAGTTTAATGTTTAAATACACACTTACGCAAAAAATTTTTTATCAGGTGTAGTAGGCATGGTGAGTCTGCAAATGGTGGCAATCCGATTAAAGTTATTGTGCTAGGGGTGGATAAAGTTGGAAAAACAGCGCTTATCTATCAATTTTTGTACAACAAAATACCAGAAAAATATAAACCAACGGTAGATGACACACATTATGCAACTTTCAACGCAGCCAAGGATAAGAAGATTGTCTTCGAAATTTTAGATACATCGGGCTCCCTTGAGTTCCCAGCTATGCTTGATCTCTCAATAAAACAGTACGATGTTTTTGTCCTTGTTTACGATGCGAGTAAGTCCAGCACTTTTAGAAAAGTTGAAGAACTGCGAGAACAGATTATATGCATAAAAAGGAAAGCTCCAATAGTCGTCGTAGCTAACAAAACTGATATTTGCAATGACAAAGAGATAGTAAGTATTAAACATTCAAAAATAAGCCTTTTTCTTTTAAAAACAAATGAGGCGAGTATTCTTACAATAAAAAGTACATTGCATGACGTTAAGTAGTCAAATTTTTACACTTATTCCTTTATTAATTAGTGGTTCACTATTTTTGCTACTATTATCCTAAGAATACTATGTATTAAAATAGTGTAGTAACGGTTTTCTGAAAATTGAGTACTATCTTTGAATTTGAATTTGAGAATTTAAAGAGATAATAAATTAACGTTTTATATGAGTAGCACCATGAGCATAAAATCTTGACTTTGTTGTTACTTTGACGAATGGAACGCATATGAAAAGCTTAAATAGTTGGTAAGGGTGATTGTATAGGTTCTTTAATCATATGTTTAAACTTAGACACTCATGTGCCGTCATTAAAATTAAAATAAGCTATTACAATCTCCTAATCGTCTATACACATATGCAAATCTACATGGCTGCTGCTGCATCAGCTCTCAACGGAAGTTTGTAACTGCCAAGCTGCGTGCGAACAAATTTTGAAATAAAGCACACACTCGCATATTAGCACATTAGCAAAGCGGTGTTAATATATAATTCGTATTTCACTGATTTTTCTTTGCGTGTTTATGAATATCTGTAACTTTTCAAAGTACCCTTTCAGTGGAGTAGAGTAGTAATAAGAAAACAAGCAAAATTTTTATTATTTTTGACGTGCAGTCGATCTCCAGTACAATCTCTGATGTTTGGAGGTTATATCTACTGAGCTCCAAAAATGTTCAACGGTGAAGGTTATTGGAAAGTGTGTGCATGCTTACAATTTTATCATTTACATTCATGATTTTACCTGGAGGAGAAAAATAAGAAATTCTTGGCTTGACCTCGGGTGGTGTTATACATGTGTGATTTGCATGTTTTCACCCCCCCCCCTCCCCGGCCACCCATGCATATAGGTTTTTTCACTCTAGCCCTAAAAAACAACTTTTTCTCTGAGTTCAGGGACATCATAAGTGCAACATTTCTTCCGGGAAAAAACTCGCATTGTGGGTCATCTGGGAGGTTATGTTACGGTCTCCACCCTAAAATCGTGGAAAGATGGCATATTCGACGGAGGAAGGTGAAAAATTAGATACGCTCCTCAAGACGAAAGTAGGACATTGACTCCCACGTCTTCGACTCAGCAGGCAATTACATATCCGGAAGGTAATGCCGTACTTTCGTTCTTTGGGGCGTAATATTTTATTTTGTGCTGAGGAAGGGGTATCGTCATTTCTCGTTAGAAACTTTTGACTCGCAGACATGGATTGATTTTGTTTTATTCTAAAATGCGTTCTTTTAATTTTCAGGAAGTAATTAAGCACGTACAAATAGTGCACACGAAAGTGTTTTTATTTAATAAGTTAGTTAATGGCCTTGTTAGCTTTAAGGACGTAACAAGGTTGTTTTCTTTCGCTAGTGGATTAAATTAAGTTAAAAAAAAGGTTAAAGTGGCAGTCAGTTTTGAGAACAACGACCTACTAAAATTGATATAGATATCTATCGTGTCCACGTTCCTAATACGGGTAAGTTGAATATTTTATGTATCATGTGCACTCACATATTTAGATAAACAGTATTTATGTATTTCTTTTATTATTGATTTGATTATACAATTAACGTAAATAATGCTTATCAAGAAATTTTTGCAGTCATACTTAGAAATTTATGAAATGCCAGAGTAAATAATTGTAAAAAATCTTTTGATAAAACGAATTCTTCCCAAAAAATCAAAATTCGAAGCTAACATGGTAATGGTCAGTGATAGTGAATCGGACTATATCAACAAAGCAAGTAAGTTCCGAAAAAGAGTGATCCACGTACAACAGAAACACAAAGAAAACGTTCATGAAAAGTATATAATAATAACAACACTATGCTGAGAGTTCAAAATTAAACTGAATAGTTTCAAAGCATACAGTGTAGAAGAAGATAAATTTTATTTTATGTAGTACCACGAAGCACTCAGTAAAAATAGTATATCATTTACTTAGGCCAAAAAGTAGGGCTATTACTGACAGCGCTATATACTGCGGTAATCCGCAGTCACTTGTAGCCCCACGTTTTGGCCGTGGTACATAAACTTTTTTTCCTTACACCTCCACCGAAAGTTCGAAACAAAAATTTACACGATTTGTACTCCTCATTGTACTCATATTAATGATTCTTGTAACCTATATACCTCTACACTGTATGCAGCAACCACGCTCCTGTGACAGTCGATCGTTTTATTTAGAAGTATATTTATGCTGATGTTTTTTATTTATTCATGGGAACACAAAGAAAAATAACCATAGCAGAATCTATGGATGATCTCACGCTGTCAAAGCAATAGTGTTTAATCAGGGCACTCAATATATCACATATATCATTAAAGCATAGTGGACATGTGACGTCATTTACCTATTCAACATACAAATATTAAAAAAATAACGTTAAAAAAATGGAATAGTGTACTACTATAACATTGTGATATGACGTGTATTATTAAGATGCGTTTTACATAAACAAAATTCAAAAAATTTGCTAAAAATATTTTTTTTGCTTATGTTACTTAAATATATCCAATGATTTCCTGTATTGCATGAACTGTAAAGGCTGTACCTCCGTTAGCCCTATATGTATGTAATATAACGTCTGCTACTGTTGCTGCTCCTCATCACATCACACACATATATATATAAAAGGTCAATCGCACATAGAATTGAGGCTTCAGTGTTCCAAGAGCTAACAATATTTTTGTCACGACACGCGCTTAGATCAGTTTTCTTATCCCCTTCAAATAAACTCATGTAGTGAATACGCCACATGGGAAGACAGTACGGTATTGACTCCCAGGTTNATAGTGCAAATCGTGACGTAGCTGTAATACAGGCCAAACTGGGCCTCTGTTGCAGCTAAGGTACTATAAGGTAAATAATGTCTGACACAAAACATCACTTGATCTCTTTAAAGTCTTCGAAAAACATAGTAAAAATCGTTGTTTTTCCCTATTTATTTTTTCGTGTATATATATATATATATATATATATATATATACACATGCGAACTGGGTTCTGCGCACATTAGTCAGGACTGATAGGAGGCGTTTTCTAACTCGAAATTTGGTCAGATGCAACGAACTTTCAGCGGAGGTGTAAGGAAAAATATTATATCCAAATTAGATGTGATAATTGGTTATGAAAGTGAAAACACCACTTTGTACAATAAGGAAGATTTAGTGTGCAGTGGATCTAAACTTGGAGAGAAAGGAAATTGATTGAATATTTTCTTGTTACGTCTGATCACCAAACTTTCCGTTCACAACTCGTTTTTCTTTGCTTCACGGCTTACGCGTCACGACAAAGTACAAGCCATCAAAGTATTTTCTTAAATTATCTACTCTCTTCCTTGATCACTTATCCTAGTTGTGACTGAGGTACGTTCTATTCAACCTCTTTTTATATTTTAGCTCTTTCAACATTTGCCTTCAGGGTTTTTTTCTTTCATTTTAAACAGATAAAGAACGTTATCTCAGGTGACAAAACAATAGTTTTATTTTCTTATATGCTAACTCTTACTAACATTTAGATGTAAGCTTCTGACAGCTCTATTTATTACTCTTAAGATCAACAAAATACACTTTACTATCAAACTCACTATAATTTAAGTTATTTTCATTACCATTACAGTAGGCTAACACCTGTCCCTACCCTACTTAACTCTTTAAAGCACGTCCCAGGCATTGGACGATAATGCGTCAAGGCTAAATTTCCTAAATAATAAAATCTGTCACACCCCAACGTAACATTATTATTGAGTACTGCAATCCCTCCAGAACAGCTTTTAGATCCACCAGAAAGAAGTTTTAGCTCAAGGTCGATTCTCACATCCATCTCAAATTCTAAAAGTGTAGATAGGCTTAGCTCTCATAACGAAAATAAAAGGTTGCAAAGAAAGTTTGCTACACTGAACTTTAATAAATTCTGTGAAGCAAATAAAAAAATATGTAGAGCTATGGATAAAAGAACAGAAATTGACACCGCTAAAGCCGATGTATCGGCAAGACTTAAGTTAATCGATTATGAGAAACCTACTACTATCAGCTCTTGTAAGAATTCTGATGCTATAAGAACTGGTAGAGTACTAAGATCTTGATCAGTATGGCTGTCATGAAAACTGTAACTTCATTTTTAAAGTTAATACCCTTTAATTTAAAAAATGCTAAGGATCTCAAAAGCACTTATCCATTTCGTTTTTTTGATATATTTTCCATGTTTCTGTAGCTTGCAGGCTACACCTTTACAAAAAAATATATCAAATGAGAAAAAAATAGAATCTTCGAACAAACATTAAGATTCATATGTATCTCTAGTTAAGGAGGAAGATTTGATTTTCTCTTCAAAAATTTTGGCAAGCAGTGCCCAAAGCGAAATTATACTAATCGAAAGTAGCTGTTAAATCTATCAACATGTCTGGTAATAAGAAGTTAATTTGTAAAGAAATGGCGATGATGGAAAAAATAAGACATCCACTATTTGTCAACATTATGTATGTTGCTTAATCTCCGACAGCTTTTTATATTGCTATGAAGCTTATTAGTGGTAAAAATCTGGATAATTGTATTTTTTAATAAACGAAACAAGCAGGTGTGTCTCAATGGAAAAAGAAAAAATGAAATATTTCTTCGAACACGTAGTAGTATGGCATAAATTCACCAATCAATTTAAATCAGATGATGAATAGTAATTTCAATATAAAAATATGCGATTTCGACTTGTCAAAAAGCATGACCTAAATCAAACACTTTCGACCACCATGAATGAAGCTGTGAAAGCGACTTTTATGTTTTTGGCCCCATAATTACTAATTCATCATTAGTCACCAAGTACATCATCAGATGTGTGGTCTGTTGGTGCAACTCTCATTGAATTATGCAGCCAAAAGACTATTTGGAATTTTAGTAGTTACGACATCGTAAAAAATTAAGAAAA